CCCTACCTCGTCAGCAGTTAAAGAGTAATTCTTCAACTGGAAGCAATCATGAAGACTGAAGTTCTCTACTTTTCAAGAAGGAGAAGAAGAAGGCTTCCGCATCAGTCCTGCCATTGCAGATGGATGCCCATAAGTTCTAACCATAGCATAAATTCAGAGGAAAACTTCCCTCCTCCTATAACTAAGCATACTTATTAAGTATGGTCAGTTCCTCCCATGAGCACTCTTTGAGGGGAACCACTAAACAATCAGTCATTTCTAGTGTAAGATTAAAAATATGTCTCCTAAAGATTTAGTTCATTTTTAGCTCTTGAGATTAATTACTAAATAGTTGAAGGCAAAGAATATCTGAGCCATTTGCACCATCTAGGCATAATCTTGTGTGCTGTATGTGCTGCATCTGTAGAGGATAGAAGAAGTAGAGATTGGGCAATTACCTGGAAAATTTAATTGAGGCACTAAAGTCTATACTGGACTATTGTTTTAATTTGACTCATTTGTCTTTCTACATTGATCAAAATGCAGCATAAATATGCCCATAAGTACACTTAGGACAGACAGACGTCTCTGCCTGAGTGGCAGTGCAGCAGTAAACCAATTTCAGGGGGCTGGTTGTTCAGTTTTCCTCTCCAGGGCTCCTCTCCATCCTGCTCTATGCCCAGCTGGCTGACTTCTATCCACTGCATCCACTGGTCTCCCTTGTCCTTTTGTTTCTGGTTGGGTTTGGCTCAGTGAGAGGCATCGGCAGAGAGAGTGGTCAAGATATTTATATTCTAAGGTGCTTTCTCTCCTGTACTGAAGTCCACAGGTCCTGTTGGGTGGTATTTTCCCTCAGTTACAGGTCTCCCCAGACTAGGATAATTTCTTCCTTCTCTGTCCCTTCTGGCCTAGGACTGGTGAAATCTTCTGGCTAGCCTCAGGGTGCTTCACCTTCTCTTGTAGGTTTCCCTTAATTCTGACCCCACATTTAAAATATTGCTTTCATTCAGCTTTTTTCCAATTATCCTCTTGAGGTGATTGCCAGGACCCTCAAAGGTATAACACTAACACTTATCTTAGGCTCTAGGGAGAGAGAGAAGAAATTTATTGTATGTTTCCATTCATCACAGGCCTCTTGGGGCTTGAAGGTTAGAATTTAAAGATAATTTATATATTTTGGAAAGACATTATCATAGGTTCAAGGTTTCAACTATAAAAGTATGAGATCCTTAACAAAGCTTTCAGAAACAGCTACGTTCTGCTTTTTTCTGATTCAAAGCAAAAAGATTTCCTTGGCTCTTTTCAAAATACATGGTTTATTTGGACATTATTTAAAGGAAAAATAAGGCAAATAATGTCTTTATATTGATACTTGCTTATATCCTTTATATTAAAAGCTGTTGAATAATAACTCTGCTGCTATTGTGGCATTTTTTACTACAAAACTTTTGCCTGTCCTCCCCTTAAAATCAGCCCTTTGTCATCATAATAATACCTCCAACTTAGTTAACTACCAATTTTTACCCAGTATGCACTTGTCTTGAATTCTTTTTTTAAGTAGCCTCTCTATGTAGGAAATCTCTATTTTTTCAACCCCTTCACAGAGAGTTTGTGTTTTGTTTTTTGGTTTTATAATCGACTGCTTAAGTAATCAAAAACCTCCCCAAAAATAAAAGTCCAGGACCAGACGGCTTCCCTGGTGAATTCTACCAAACATTCAAAGAAGACTCAGTAAATATCTTTCTCAAACTCTTCCAAAAAATTGAGGAGGGGGGGAAGCTCCCTAACTCATACTATGAAGCCAACGTTACCTTGATACCAAAACCACATGAGGACAACACAAAAAAAGAAAATTACAGGCCAATATCACTGATGAACATCAATGCAAAAATCCTCAATAAAATACTAGCAAATCCCATACAACAATACATTAAAAAGATTAGACACCGTGATCAGGTGAGATTTATTCCAGGTATGCAGGGATGGTTCAACATTCGCAAATCAATCAACGTGATACACCACATTAATAAAATGAAGAATAAAAATCACATGATCATCTCAATAGATGCAGAGAAAGTATTTGACAAGATACAGCATCCATTTATGATAACTCTGAATAAAAGGAGTATAGAAGGAAAGTAGCTCAACATAGTAAAGGCTATATATGACAAACCCACAGCTAATATCATCCTCAATGGTGAAAAACTGAAAGCTATCCCCTTAAGAACAAGAACCAGACAAGGATGCCCACTCTACCACTCCTATTTAACATAGTATTGGAAGTCCTAGCCAGAGCAATCAGGAAAGAAAAGGAAATAAAAGGGATGCAAATTGGAAAGGAAGAAGTGAGACTGTCACTATTTGCAGATGACATGACTTTATAGATAGAAAACCCTAAAGAATCCACCAAAAAATTTTAGAAGTAATAATTGAATATGGTAAAGTTGCAGGATACAAAATCAGCATACAAAAATCAGTTGTATTTCTATACACTAACAACGAAGTAGCAGAAAGAGAAATTAAGAATACCATCCCATTTACAATTGCAACAAAAAGAGTAAAATACCTAGGAATAAACTTAACCAAAGAGGTGAAAGATCTGTACATTGAAAACTATACAACATTGCTGAAAGAAATTGAAGACGACACAAAGAAATGGAAAGATATTCCGTGCTCTTGGATTGGAAGAATTAACATAGTTAAGATGTCCATACTTTCTAAAGCAATCTGTAGATTCAGTATAATTCCTATCAAAGTTCCAACATTTTTCACAGAAATAGAACAAGGAATCCTAAAATTTATATTGAACAACAAAAGACCCTGATTAGCTAAAGGAATCCTGAGAAAAAAGAACAAAGCTGGAGGTTTCACACACCTTGATTTCAAAATATACTACAAAGCTATAGTAACCAAAACAGCATGGTATCGGCACAAAAACAGACACACAGATCAATGGAATAGAGTCAAAAGCACAGAAATAAACTCACATATCTATGGACAGCTAATCTTTGACAAAGGAGCTAAGAACATACAATGGAGAAAGGAAAGTCTCTTCAACAAATGGTGTTGGGAAAACTGGACAGCCACATACAAAAAAGTGAAAGGAGACCATTACCTTACACCATACAGAAAAATTAGCTCAAAGTGGATTAAAGACTTGAATATAAGACCTGAAACCATGAAACTTCTAGAAGAAAACATAGGCAGTACACTCTTGGACATCAGTCTTAGCAACATACTTTCAAGCACCATGTCTGACCGGGCAAGAGAAACAATAGAAAAAATAAACAAATGGGACTACATCAAACTAAAAAGCTTCTGCACAGCAAAGGAAACCATCAACAAAATGAAAAGATAACCTAAAAACTGGGAGAAGATATTTGAAAACCATACATCTGATAAGGGGTTAATCTCCAAAATACATAAAGAAGCCATGCATCTCAACAACAAAAAGACTACCAACCCAATTAAAAAATGGGCAAAAGACCTGCACAGACATTTCTCCAAAGAAGATATACAGGTGGCCAACAAGCACATGAAAAGATGTTCAACATCATTAACTATCAGTGAAATGCAAATCAAAACTACAATGAGATATCACTCACACCCGTCAGAATGGCTATAATTAACAAGACAGGAAACAACAAGTGTTGGAGAGGATGTGGAGAGAAGGGAACTCTCATACACTGCTGGTGGGAGTGCAAACTGGTGCAGTCACTATGGAAAACAGTAGGGAGATTGCTCAAAAAATTAAGGCTAGAACTACCATACAATCCAGCTATTCCACTGCTGGGGTATTTATCCAAAGAACATGAAAACACCAATGTGTAAAGATACAGGCACCCCTGTGTTCATTGCAGCATTATTCACAATAGCCAAGACTTGGAAGTAACCTAAGTGCCCATCAAGGGACAAATGGATGAAGAAGATGTGGCCTATATACACAATGGAATACTACTCAGCCATAAGAAATGATGAAATCCAGCCATTTGTGACAACATGGATGGACATTGAGGGTCTTGTGCTAAGTGAAATAAGTCAGAGGGAGAAGGTCAAATACCATGTGGTCTCACTCATTAAGTAGTAGATAAAAACAACAATAAACACATAGAGACAGAGATTGGATTGGTGGTTACCAGAGGGGAAGTGGGGTGGGAGGAGGGTGAAAGGGATGATTAGGCACATGTGTATCATGATGGATTGTAATTAGTATTTGGATGGAGAACATGAGAACACGGTGTAATCTATGCAGAAATAGAAGTATAATGATGTACACCTGAAATTTATACAATGTTATAAACCAATGTTCCCGCAAAAAAAAAAAATATATATATATAATCTACTGTTCAAAGGAAAAATTTGCCAGGAGGTGTTTATAACACCATCCCTTCCTTTTCTCTCTCAAGAGAAGATTCAAGTTCTTTTCGTATGAATCTTTAACTCAAAGAGGTTTACACAGAAGCCAGCTCTAAATCATTTCTAAAGAGAAGAACAAAGTTCTTATTCTTTCTTATCATTTCTCTTCTCTTGTCTTACTCTTTTCTCTTATTTTGCCTTTTCTTATCTCTCATTTTTATTTTCCTTCCTTCTTCACCCAAAGCTACGCTTTCCCTTCTATTTTCTATTTATTTTCCCATCCTATTAAAAAATTCTATTTCCCTTCTTTCTGTCTCTACATTATCTACACCAAATTCCCCCTCTGTCCCTCAAGGAAAATGTAAACATGCAGAGGTCTGGTCCTGTGATAGGACCTGGAAGCACTGGCCACTTGATGGTAAAGTCACGGGGTTCTGTGTGTGGCCTCTAGGGGGTGTTGCAGTGTGAGGCTTGTCCCGGGTGCAAGAGAAGCAGCAGTCCTGCTCCCCACAGAGCTCTGAGGAGCCTGAACCAAGAGCTTTCTCAACAGAGAGGAGACACAGGTGCCAGGAAGCACCAGGCTCCCTGAAGAAGGGCCATCTGTTAAAATGCTGTGCTGACACAGAGGTGCTGCTCCCTCTTGGAGAGCCCAGTCTCTGGGGTGGGGCCGTATCTCCAGCTGAGGTGGTCTGGAAAGGAACCCCCAGACAGCTCAGCTTAAGCCATGGCCTCTGCACGCATCTCAACACTTGCCATTCTCTTCACACTGAGTGAGTAATATCCCCTTCCCATTTTCCACCTGCATTATTTGCTTACATTCTTTTCAGCAGCTTCCCTGATGCAATGTGGATTAATTTACAGGTGGGCTGAGAGCTCAGTCGGTGACTCAGCCGGAAGATCAGGTCACTGTGGCCGAAGGGGATCCACTCACTGTGAAGTGCACCTATTCAATTCCTGGGAGCCCTTATCTCTTTTGGTACGTCCAATATCCCAACCAAGGCCTCCAGTTCCTTCTGAAATACACCACAGGGGACAACCTGGTTAAAGGCAGCAATGGTTTTGAGGCTGAATTTAATAAGAGCCAAACTTCTTTCCACCTGAAGAAACCATCTGTCTTCGGGAGTGACTCTGCTGTGTACTTCTGTGCTGGGAGTGACACAGTGGTGGGGGCTGCAGGGAGAGCTGAACACAATCCTCTGAGAACAGTAAAAACCATTTTCCTGAAGGCTTTATGTCCCTCCACAAGAGGGTGGTGTGGTTCCAGGTTATGTCACTTATTATAACTAAATTACAATTTAAAGCCACAGAATTTGTTCATTTGACATAAAATTATTGAATCCTTATGTGCCAGATATTGTAGGCATTGATCATAAAGAGGTGAAAGAAGTGATCTTTGATCTCTATGTGCCAGGAGTGATCCCAAACATTTATGAACCCATTAAATTCTCACAACTATTGTCATGAACTTCACTTTAGAAATGAAGGAACTAAGGCACAGAGAATTTAAGAATCTCACTCAAGTCACAAAACTATTAAACAGCAAATTGAAACCCAGCACTCTGCCTCTCGGGTGCATGGTCTACCCACTCACTTCCCAGCGTATAGGCTCCCTGAGGCATGAGACTGTGGTTTCAGCGACGATGTAGCTCTAACTCCCAAAATGGCCCCTGTCAAAAAAAGTGTGGTTGTAGGAATGAACAGTAAACCAACAACTCAAAACAGTTTGGTAAGCGCTAAGATAGAGGATGCCATGTGAGATGAGGAGGCAGCGGTAGCTTAGCTGTGAAGGGAGGAGAGAAAGAAAATGCATAATGGAAGGAGAATTTGAATCAAGGGAGGATTCAAACATATAGTTCTAAGCGTGGCTGCTTATAGCTCCTATGCCCACATCTTCTTATGTACACCCTTGAGAGGGACTGGACTGGATGCTCCTCCCTCCCTCCTCCCTTCCCTCTCTCCGTGTGTGTGTGTGTGTGTGTGTGTGTGTATGTGTGTGTGTGTGTCTCCTTCCCTCCCTTCCTCTCTCTCTCTTTCTCTTGCTCCAATTTAGAATATCCTGGGAAGGGCTCTGGTTGACTCAATGTGAGTCAGGTGCTCTTCCCTGGACTAACCACTGGTGGCTGTGGGTCTGCTGCTAGGATTAGCCCAGTTTGACTCGCACATTTAGCCATTAATGGTGGCTGGAGTGATGATTCCTGTAAGAAGTTAGCAGCTCCATTTTGAAACACATGATTCAAAAGAGTATATCCCAAAAGAAATTAATTTTTACTTAGGGACTTATGTTTGTTTATTTTTCCCAAACAGATAGCCAATAGTAGGAACACCACTTATTGAAAAATTCACTCTTGCCCCATAGATTTGGAATACTACATTTATAGTATACTAAATTCCATACATACCTGTATCTATTTTTGAACTCTGTGCTTGTGATTCTGTGCTGGAATGTTCTGCATTCAGGGAGAGTCACCCTCCAGCCTCTGGCTTATATTTTGTGATCTACTCCCCTAAGTCCAGCACATACCTTGAGGGGCTTTAGAGGTATTTAAACTTAAACTTTAGAGGTATTTAAATACATTTAGAGGTATTTAGACTCCAGAGGGCCATGTCCCCTTTGCCCTGTGGACTTCTCATAGGGAGTAGGGTGTGGGCAGGTGGAGGAAGGCTGGGGTGGAGCCTTTTAAAGTGCACGACTAGAGCAGGGACATTGCTTGCTCAGGTCTAAGAGTGCAGTGTTGTGTACCATTATTGCCCCTAATACATTTGTGTTCGTAAAACCATGGGCCCTACTCTAGATTTAAATATATAGTTGCCATACCTCTAGGTAAACCCTCAGCTCCCACGACTCTTTCGCTCCAAAGGGAGTTCATTCCCAGAAGGATATTCTCAGCACATTACACCATGAACCTTGCTCTGTGGCCTGGGCTAACATCCGTGCCCATCTTCCTCTATTTTACATGGGACATCACCACAGCATGGCTTGACAAGCAGTGCGTTGGTGCGCGCCCGGGATCTGGACCTGCGAACCCTGTGCCGCTGAAGCAGAGCTCGCACTTAACTGCTGCACCACCGGGCTGGACCTGCCTCTGATACTTTTAAGTAGGTTTTATGCAAGTCCTGCAAGTGAAAGAAGGACATTTACACAATTACAACTCATTCATTCATTTACCCATTCATTCAACAATAATTTGTAGCATTCCCACTATGTGCCAGACATTGTTCTTGTCACTGGGAGTACAATGGTGAACAAACTCTTCCCAGTCATTTCCCAGACTTGGAAAGTGTTGATACCATTTCTCCACCCAAATAGAACTATATCTTAGTCAAAGACACAGAATTCTCAAGAATATTTCCTTCTCAGGAAGACTCTCCAGGGTCAGACTAGCCCTCAGATGTTCATTTTCATCATGTGGTGTGGTGTGATGGGAGTCGTGTAGGGAAATGGGAATCTATATTTTCCCCATTTTTTGAGGTGTCTAGGAGGGAGCAACTATGTTTCCTTAGATGTTCTGTTTTGTCATTTGGTTCTGGTAATTGATCTATTTTACTTTGAGGGGGAAAGTTAACCTAGTATTCTTTTTTTCCTATGCTTATTGGAAAATATTCCTTATAACCAGGTAACCTTTAGGCAAAACTAGAGATTCAAGAGTTTTTCTTCATATTATCACCTTTTTTATCCCCCCTTTTATCTCATTTCTAGAACTCTGTGGAAAGAGGATTAAATTAAGAATTAGGAAGCGTAGGTTGTGTTTCCTGATTCTTCTTCTAGATAACTATGTGCCTCATCTCCTAATTCATAAAAGTGAGACAATTGGAAAGATTGTTGTGAGGATTGTCTATGTAAAACTATGTCTTAGATTCCAAATAAAAGTGGGTGTTGAGTGCGGCATAGCAACAAGATCCTTAGGTCACTGCTATAGACTGTTGGTGTCCCCCCCAAAATTCGTATGTTGAAACCTAATCCCCAGTGTGATGATATTTGGAGGTGGGGCCTTTAGAAGGTGATTAGATCATGATGATGGAGCCCTCATGAATGGGATTAGTGTCCTCATAAAAGGACCTCCAGAGAGCTCCCTAGCCCCTCCCTCTATGTGAGGACACAGCAAGAACATGGTGGTCTATGAACTGGGAAGTGGGCTCTCACCAGACACTGAATTTGCTGGCACCTTAATCTTGGACTTCCCAATCTCCAGAACTGTGAGAAACAAACGTTTGTTGTTTAAGCCACCCAGTCTATGGTACTTTTATTATAGCAGCCTGAATGGACTAAGACAGTCACCAACATATCTGCTCCCATATCTGCTCTGAGCTGCTTATATTTGGACTGAACGTGAGAAGAAAATAAACTGCCATCTTGTTTAAGCTACTTTACGTTGGCCTTTGCCACATCAATTGGACCTGTATTCTAATATCATCTTCTATACCTGAAAACCTGTTTTTAGCAAAGGAGCTAACATTATCTATTTATGTTGTGGTTAAATTGCACGTAAGCAACAACATTTTTTTTTCTATCACTGGTGGAATCACAGTTTTTGTCCCTAAAATATAATTCTAAGCACATTAGAGAAGGTAGGGATAGAGAAACATTTTGGGGGTCAGAAAAGATGTCCTGGTTTTCCTGAGAACACTGGGTATAGACAGCCACTTGCTCCAACCACGTGAGAACTTGCCCCTGCCTGGATGCTAGGGGGACACCTCCCCTCAAGAGGAACCACCCTCCACAGAACCATCTTATGCTCTGTCCAGCCCTCCCTCCTCTGATCTTTTTCCAATTGCATAGTGAGCTTCACTGGGTTCTCTGCAAGAATCCAGAAGCACCTCAAATTGGATGGTGCAGAGCTTAGCTCTTTGTCTTTTCCCCTTCCCAAAACAAAATGAAACAAAGCAAGACAACACGAACTCACTCTTTCTATTTTCATTTTCTATATGAAACAATGGCACCACCATCTACTCAAGTGCCATCCACTGTCTTGCTTCCAGGTCTGTCAAGATGCTGTTCTTTCTACCTTCCTTCTTTCCACTTGGCCCAGGTTCATTCTTTACTAGTTTCATTCTTCCTCTTCCCTGAGGTTTTAGTTTAGGTGTCACTCTGTCTGGGAAGTCTTCCTGAAGCCCTACAACCAAAGAAGTTTCTCTTCTTGTATATTCCTATAGTACTCGGTACTTTCCCTGTCACAGCAGTTACCAGAGGACTATCACTGCTTTTAAAATTCTCTTCCTTATCGCTAGACCACTGGGTCCTTCTCATCATTGAATGTCCAGTGTCTAGCTCAGTGCCTGACCCAAGCAGGGACTCCACAAATATTGTTTGATTGAGTAAATTAATACTGACCAAGGGTACTGAAACAGTGGCCGGCCCTGTGACTTAGTGGTTAAGTGCACGCACTCGCTGTTGGCGGCCCGGGTTCGGAACCCCAGGCGCGCACCGACAAACCGCTTCTCTGGCCATGCTGAGGCCATGTCCCACATACAGCAACTAGAAGGATGTGCAGCTATGACATACAACTATCTATTGGGGCTTTGGGGGGGAAAATAAATAAATAAGTAAAATCTTAAAAAAAAAAAGTACTGAAATATCCTTATTCTTTAATCCAGGAAATCCCCTTTGTAGAAGCTAGTCTAAAGAAATAATTGAAAGTTTAGACAAAGATTTATTGATAGGCAAAAATGTCTGGGTAATAACGTAAACTTAAAAAAAAACCAGGGTACCCAAATGTGTGTGTGTGTGCGTGGGCGTATGATGCAATCCAGTTTTGGTAAAAATATTTATGCA